AATATATTTATATTTTGCTTGTGATTTTTTTCATTAATTAGTTAAAATCTTTTTATGCAATTTCTATTATTATTACCTCTGATATATGTATATATATCCTATTTATCACAAGGTTACCAACCCTGAGCTCCCATTGCTATATTATTGTCTACATTGTCAAATGCTCAAACGATTTAAAATAAAATATTCAACCCCATATTTGTTATCAATTTAAATACAATTTCTTTATGCAAACATTTCGCTTGCTAATTTTTGTAGACATAAATAGTTTTGCGAGTGCGAAATAGTTTGTATGCTAATTTGAACAAACGATGAAGAAGCAGAGAGGTAAAAGAAAATATAAAAATATAAGTAAATAAATGTTGCTCGCTTGGGAAACAACTTCGATTCGTGCCGGCGAGGGCAGTCGCCTCCTCGCTTCGGCAATATTATTAAATGATCTGCCGAGTCCGAGGCACTTGGCATTTGGCAACTGGTATAGCACTCGGCCAGGTTAATTACTGCTAATTGATTGAATCTGCAATGTGATACGATCAATTGATCTCTATTCGTGTCAGTCTATGTCCACCTCTCTCTCTCCCTCTCTCTCTCTCTTTCTCTCTGCTTATGCGTAGATTCCTGCTGCTGTTCCAGTTCTTCGTTTAGCATTCGCAATCGCTGTGTAAAGGTTAATGTGTCGCATCTAAGTTATGCACTCGTTGGCATTGCAACCACTCAAAACTCATTAAAGTGTTTCCATTTCAGCAGCCAGACTAGTTTCGAATCGTCTCAGAATCAATTTATTAATACGTCTCGAAGCCGGAGCTAGAGAGGCTGAGACAGAGACAGAGCTAGAGACAGAGCGAGTGCCAGAGTTAGAGCTGGAGCCTGTCTTCTGGGACTGGGCGTGTTGTCTTCAACGCCCAGAAGACGCCAAGGCAAATGCCAACGCCGAATCAGAGCGAGAGAGTAGCTGAGTATCCAACAGCAAGATACCCTGTGAATTGAGAAAAATGCAAGTTTTTGATTTGAATTGGAACAACTTAGAATGCATTTAAGTATTTTGTTAATTTTCAATTACCATAAAATAAAAAAAATGCTATATGATGACTTTTAAATATATATATATAATAACATCTTTTTTTCTATTATACAAATATCAAAGTTGCAGTGCTCTTTGAGTCCTCTAATATTTGTAGAAAACTTCCAATTGGACTTACCATACACAATACTACCAATTACTACTTACACTACTATACTACTAATTCAATTAACAGCACTACTCCACTTCCCATTTTACAGGGCATTTAGTAAGTCTTTTGGCAGACAAATAAAAAAAAATCAGTTGCCAATGTCTGATTGCGAAATTTGCCAAAAATTATTAAAAATTGTTGTTGCTTTGCTTCTTTTTGAGTATTTTGGCATAAATGCTAGTCGCTTCTCAGTGCCCACCCACTGTAACAGCGGAGCTCGAAAGATACAAAACTGAGAAAGGAATTTGCATGGTAGTCAAGTGGAAAAGAGCTTAGCTATTTTCTTAGCCAGTCGTCCGTTACATATGCAGCACCTTTCGCTTTTTGTTGTTCTTGTGTTTGCTGGCTTGGCTTTGTAGCTACGTTGGTCGCTGGGGCATGGCCCACGCCCACTTGGCGACATGTTTGTACAAGCAATTTGACAAATTTTATTAGCTGCTGCTGCACCTCACATGTTGTTAGATATTCAGATAGGCGCCCACAGCCAGACGGCAGCAGCGAGCTGATGTGTCGCATTTAACACGCAGACAATGGCCAAATTAAGGCAGGTTACATAACTCGGCTTCGGCTACTTTAAATTGCAAATGCAGTTCAACGACTTTATCCAGCGCCTGGCGACTCGTCTCGCAACTTTCTATTGACCCAGCACAGCACAGCATCAGTGAAATGGTATAAAAGCGCCAAGAACTGTTTGCGATTAGCATAAATTCACAAGAACTGCCATAAAACATGTTTCGATTGGTAAGCAACGACAGCAGCAGCCGCAGCAGTAGCATCCGAAATTATCTTCTCTCTCTCTCTCACACTCTATTTGTAGTGCTTGCTCTTGGCTCTCGGCTGCACAGGCGGCTGGAGCATTGAGACTGAGCAGCAGTTGGAGCTGGTGCCGATTATCAAGTCGTTAGCCGAGCAGAAAAATGATGGCTCCTATTTCTTTGCCTATGAAGGCGCCGATGGCAGCTATCGCGAGGAGGTTGGCATCGTAAGACGCTCCAAAAATCACATGAGATCTGCAGATGATGAAGATGTGCATTCAGCTGCTGCAGCTGCGGCTGCTGTTGCTGATAATAATAATAATAATAATAATGATGGTGATGATAATGATGATGACGATACGGAACTAGAAGTATCTGGTGTTTATAGTTACATTGACAGTGATGGCCAGCAGGTGGAGGTCAGCTATGTGGCTGATAAAAATGGCTTTGTGCCCGTGGGCACGAATATACCCAAGGAAATAAGCGACGCGGCGAGGAGTGCGGTGCAATCACTGGAGGTGAGAGCGGGCAAGAGGAATTAAAGTGAACCGAATGTATTTAAATTGTTAAAAATGTGTTATACAAACCAGATATGTGCAAGGTATTACAAGAAAATGTACCAAATGTATATTTAAGAATAAAGTTTATTTTCATCAAAGTAAACAGAAAATTATTATTTTCTTTTTGTGGTGCCTCAGTTTAATTTGTATCCATTAGCAAAAGGTAGGTAACAAAACTTGGGAATGCAGAAAATATAGAAAATATTGAATGGTAAGTAAGAAAAGAATTTAAGAGAGGTATTCCCTAGACCCTTTTCAGTTATGTTCACTTATTAAAACTCAAACGTACAGGAATCCCTCGCTGACATCAAATGAAAACAGAAAAGATCAGTGAGCTCATTTTATAAACTGTTATATACTGTTCTACGCTGCTTAACTAGTCAGATCAACTCACTATTTCAAATGTTGTTTAATTAAATTACTAAAAAAATATCAAATTCCATATGCATAAACTATTATGGAAGCATATTTTCAAATGATATTCAAGCAATTTTAAAAAATAAGCAACAAATTAATGGAAATAGGATACAAATAAAATAAATATCAAACCAAGAAAATGAAGAGTATATCAATTGAAGACCAACAGCTTGGCAGCTGCAGCAGTTGAGCTGTTATGCGCCGTCTAAACTGCCTTGATTGTCGCACTTTTGTAAATGTTACTCAAACAATTATTGAAAATAAACGATTCATAAACCAAACATAGCCTGGCTAGTCAATAAATTCAATTCAGAAATCCCCAGCTCAGTCACTTGGCCAGCTCAGCGGGCAACTATGCCGAAATGGGGAGCGCCAAAGCCAGAGCAAATGGCCCAATGGACAGCTCAAACACTTACAACACCAGCTGCTGCAGTTGCTGCTTCTGCTGCTGCTGCTGCTGCTCTGACGGCTACCAACACTGGTCGTAAAGCTGCTCATCGTGCACATATTTAATTTGAGTACGTGCATCGCCTTGCTGCGCCTGTCACAAATATAAATTGTGGCAATTTTTATTGGCACCACAATTTGCAACATGGTAATTTCAGTTGGATCTTGCATTTCGGGCTCGATCTCGAGCTGGGGTCCACTGGGCCCCACGGCTCTCCAGTCCGGGTTGTGCCCTTTGCCAAATGTCGTCAGAGCCGACGTCGATGCCGCGCCGCCGCCAACGCCAACGCCGACGCCGATAATAAATGTAGCTAAATTAATAATAATGTTTATTCTTCTCTCTGCTGGCCATTCCACAAATCTTCTTGTTCTGAGTTTATGGCTCTCGATATTTATTGCGAATCCAATTGAATTTTTCATTATCGACGAGAGCGATAAATACAGTTTATGCAGCTAATTAGAATTTTAATTTGAAGCATTTATCAAGCAACAAGTTTTAATTGCTGATGAGATATTTAACAGTTTATGCGACTCATGGGAAACAAGATAGAAGAAGAAGATATTGAGCGAAGACTGATTGATGAGATGTGAAAAGGCGAGCTGTGAAGCGAGCTGTATCTGTATCTGTATCTGTATCTGTATCTGTATCTGTATCTGTATCTGTAT